CTCAAGTCCTTGCCATTAGGGTCGTATTTCCAGTGCTTGAAATCATACTCAAGCCTGCTTAAGTCCTGACTTGAGCATTGAGTAGAGTCCTGGAATACGACCCTAAGTACTTTTAAATTTAATAAGATTAATCGATTCAAATTGTAATAGTAAATGTAAACGTTCTTATTCTACATTTGCATGTTGTCTTCACCTATAACTGCTATAGCATTAAGTTCTTTGTTTTGTAATGTGAAATACCTAATTGAATGTTATTATAATGTGTATAGTGTTGGTGAACTGAATAAATAAATAAATAAATACATATTTTCTTAACTTAGCTTTGCATGCAACTACGTGAGGTAAGCGAAACTAAGTTAGTTTAGCTGGCATAGTTGGTTGCATGCAACTACGTGAGCTAAAAGTTAACTAGCTTCATTCGCGGTGTGGCCTACGCTTTATTTATGTTTTACGTCTTTATATTTGATTATGTTTTATTTTTCTTCTGTTTTGTTTTGTGGTATCATTTGTGATAACAAATATATGTGTTTTCTTTCTTTCTATAATTATAATCGGAGACGATAAAAATAATATCAACTGTTGAACGTATTACAGAGACGTTACGTCTTTGAGGAAGCCTTAAGGACTCGTCCTGACCGCGCGTACAATCAAGAAATGCAGAACCTACTTCGAGAGTTAAATGTTCCTGCCGTCAGCCTAGGAGACTGGCTTCACATACCCCGTGTGTTCTCCCGACAAAACGCACAGTTCTCCTTACCTATTGACACTGATGCGCTAGAACGTGAGTTTAACAAATTACTTGTAACTGAATACACCAAAGTGTATGGGGATTATCTTCAAGTACAAAATGATAGAAACAAATTGTTAGTATACGAAAATTTAGGAGACTACCTCTAAGTACCTAGCCGATATTTATTAATTTAGGTCAACGCCATTTTTTTCATTTAAAGGCATATTTTGATGATTTTTGTGTTGCATATCGAAATTAAATAAGTTAGATGTTACAGATTTAACACCGATGCAGTACGCAGCGAGATACGTTACAATAAAGAAGTCCAAACAGCTGCTCTATCTCACCGTACTGAGGAAGTTCATGCCTCAAGGTTATGCTATGCCAGTTAAGGTAATTACACCACTCTCTAGTATTAAGAAGTTTATAATGATCCCGAAATCGATTTGCGATAGGAGCTCTTCTAATTTGGTTCGGGGATTGTCGCTCCAGGATTGGCATCAGTGCCAAGAAACTTATTGTTTACTTTTTTGCCGTTTGAGAGCAGTGCCTCTTCCACGAGATCACTGTGACAGTTGTCGCTAACGACCGCGTAAATTACTTCACAGTTTTGTATGGCAAGTTATGCAGCGCCTCTAGCTATCACAAGAGCAATGTAATAATAATAATGTAATTCTCAAACATAAACACAAATACCTGAGCTTAAATATGAGTGCAATTTGAGAGACTAGAATCCGTAATAGGTACTAGACCTATATTACAGGTCACCAGGCTTTGTCCCTACCGGACAACCATGGTCAATGCGGACAACGCATACATTATATTGAACTGTCGAGTGTCCAACGGTTCAGTTAATAATAGTATTTACTATAAAATGTATAAATTAAAAAAGTATGTAGATTTATTGTGTGTGTGTGCGTGCGTGCGTGCGTGCGTGCGTGCGTGCGTGCGTGCGTGCGTGCGTGCGCGTGTGAAAAAGATTATAAAAATTAAGTGAAAACGATAATGAGTTTTTCAGTGTCATCATAGTCTAGTTTTATCAAAAAATTAGAAATAATTACAGTCATATCTGCAAACTTTAGAAAAATGGCTAAATCATAGTTAAAAGGATTCGACAGCGTCTTCAAATGTCTTTGTCGATTTATTTTATTCGAACTTGTAATTAACAAGTTCGAATAAAATAAATCCTTTTTGTTTTTCAAATTATAATAGCGGCTTGTCTAAAAACTCTAATGGACTAATTAGTATGTAACCTTAGGATGGAAAAAATAAAGAAAATGTAGCCGGACTGATATATACAACTATCAGTTGTTTAACGTTGAGCGACATCTGGCCGCCGAAAGAGGAATTTCTGTACCTACGTATGGATACGATCCACATTTAGTTAACGTAATATCAAACATACTGATTCGATCGATTTGAAATAAGCTAATAAAAGATTAACTACTTCATTACAAAAACTAAAGTCAATAATTTCTTCTCCAAAATGTCATTCGAGAAAATGGTGAACTGACAAAACAGTTCCCAAAATCACGGATAGATGGCACGTTTCACGAAAAAAATAACTTGTATTCGAGTTACCAGTGCAATAGTCTGTGGTATGTTATTAATTATCTCAGTTTTTTGTTATGGCTTAACTTCATGCCTTTTGACCATACCAGTATACAAAATAATATCCTCCGAACTTTCGCACGTCACAAACCTACGGCACCATTCAGCTTCTATTAACTCTGTTTAAGGCTTCTCTAGTTTATTTTGATATTATATTTTATTCAATTAAGTACCTAACATATAACCTCCAAAACTTCAAACTGGAATGTCTTAATTCCTAACTTCTGAGAATAGTAAACCCAAATCAAAATTTGGTCAGGAATTTCAACTGTATATTTTCACATATTTTTCATAAACAGACGCATACAAATTATCTCAACAAAATTTTATATGGGAGTGCCATTGTTCTTTGGAGTAAAAAATTTTATTTGTTGTATAATTAGTCACTCACATTTTGTATACAAACATTTTAAGCGGTAGCTAGCGATAACAATTCCCTGTAATCTCATGGTAGAGGCACAGGTAAAGCTTGGTGAAGGTCCTAAAATAACTTGTCTGTGGTACCCATAATTTCAGGACATAGAAGATGGGCTAATTCTCATGATGGGTGGCATCCTAACAAAAAAGCAAGCGAATGACTTCAAAGCTTTAATGAAATGGGATACCTACGAAGATGAGAACAATAACCCCGAGGATATTAAGCTCACACTGGTAGATTCAGGGCTTAAAAGGAATGTGATGAACGCAGCTGGAGATACTGGAGAGGTAATTTTTTCATGATATCAAATAACTGGAGGAACATCGTGCGCATTAGCGACACGCCTACCCATAACAGTTGCAATGAAAGCCACTTAGAGCTTTAATTCGCAAAGATTACTAAGTTACTGCTGGGTAATTATCCGAAAAATTTAAATACTGGAAAGTTTTGGGAAAAATTTCTGAAAATTTTAAAAATATTGGAAAAACATAATTTGAAGGCTCATGTTCTTCGTTTAGAAATGTCTTTTGAAGTTTTATTTAGCGTGAATTATGAAATAAAATTATAGTTGCAAAAGCAAGTTAGAGAAAAACGAGATTTAAAATAATTGGACTACAGCGAAAAAACCTTTTTATTGGCTCCAACGTTTTCGTTCAGTAACTTCAACTTTTGACAGGTGTCAACGTCAAATTTGGAAAAATTTCCAGAGAAATATAAATTTCTCTGAAAATATATAGTTACTTTTTTCAAAATTGAAATTTTTCCTTGACCCAACACTAAGTAAAATTGACAAAAATGTGGTTGTAATTTTACCCTTTTTCACCCTTACCCTTCAAAACCGAATCGCAGTAATGCTCACATTGTTGCTTGGCGGCAGAATATATATGGGTATGGTGACTGTAGTTCTTTGGACGAATTCTTTCACAAGAAACTCTACTGATGATCGGAAAAAATTAAACTATTTTTGCGATCTAAATCCTCCTCCTCCTCTACTGCTACTGAAATGACTACGTTATAATTCCAGTATTTGCTCATAAAGCGCGCCCAAATCTGCCTATACACTACTTTATATTGCACATTTTCTGACGCGTATAAGTAGTGAATAGGCAGGTTTAAGCGCGCGTTTAGTGTGCAAATGTATAGAAGATAGGTCAAATAATACGTCTGCAGTAATTCCAAGACTGCATCGACTAAGACTTGTAACAATGAGGCACTACAGGTATGGTTCTACAAGTATCTTCGAGAGATAAGTTTAAGGAAATTAACATTCTTACACTAGCCTCACAGTACATTTATGAAAATGTAATTTATGTTAAAAGGAATAGTAATTTCTTTATGAAAAATAGTGACAGACATAACATGAATACGAGGAATAGAAATAAATTAGCTTTTCTTGACAGTCGTCTTCACAAACTTCTATAACAAGATTCCGGTTGATATACAAAATTTGCCTTTCACGAGGTTTAAAATTATAGTGAAACAAAAACTTTACACTAAAGGTTATTATACAACTTCTGCGTACTTGGATGACAAAAATCCGTGGTAGTAACCCGTTTAGCTCATGGAGGTAGTCTCGATCTCTGATGTTTCAAATAAAAAAAATATTGTAAATGTTATTTACAAAGAGCAACCCCTAGAGTTTCTTGCTCATTCTTCTCAGGGGAATCTGCCTTACGAATGAGCGGTAGAGTTTAACCATTGTGACGATTTCAAGTGTAATAATGCTTACCTATGAAATAAAGATTATTTTGAATTTGAATTTGAATTTGAGTTCCATACATAAAATACACATTTTATTTTTTACTAACTACTAAACTATTATATTTATAGCAAAATGTGATATGACAATATTTAATTAGGACTATAGGATCTCTGTATTGGCATTTTTTTTAGAAGTATCGTGAAAAAAAATCCAATGTCCGCAATATCGCAGATCCGGCCTACTGTGCGTCGCAAAGTTAAGATAAATATAGTGTACCTGCCTGCCCCCAATTACGTCAATTTTTAATGTTTTTAAGTGATTTCCCAAATCCCGAAAAGATCCAGGACCTAAAAATATTGTCGTAAGGCAGTCTCCATTTTCTGTCATGTTCGTCGACACGCAATATACAAAAAAAATACATTAAGCGAAACTACCATAGGGTGCCTGAACTCACATCATACTATCAGTTATACTCGTGGCATATATAGAACAAAACTGCCGTCCACTAAGTAAGTGACAAAGTAATTTTTGTAGATCTCATAAAAAATCATAGCCCATAGAATATTTAAATTGTTTAAAGATATTCCAGCTATACCTCGTTAGAGTAAGTTCCAATAAATCGAACACGTTAACTAGTTTTAAGTGTTTTTAAAAAAGAGATATTTGTACTCTTTTGCTATTTAAAACGGATATTTGATCACACTAAAAGCGTTTTAGTTAATGAATAACAGAATATCAAATATGAGCTCAACTGTGGAAACAAAACTACTATTTTGTGATCATTCTCACATTGTTTTTACTATCCGGCTCGAAGAACCAATAACATGTCTAGATTTATCCCAAAGCAAACATCCATGAAGCTTTATTTATTTATTTATTTTTTTAGGCAGATATACCAACTATAAAATACAGAACTTGGTGTGGGCTATGTGCAGTTTGCGAAAGGATGTACGGAAGGTTTCCTCCAAAAGACAAAGATCTGCCTAATGGGGTAATGCCATAACTTACTTATTATTTTAGTATTTTGGGTAACTGGTAAGTTTTTTACGGTAAATAAATTTACTTTCTATATGTGTAAAACCTAATATTTAGCGGATCTGATACAGTATACCACGCCGCTCTTGTATGCTGCTCATCGGGGACATTACTTTATGTGAAATCACTCTTACGTAACCATTAACCATCACGCACAAGTGTTAAACAAATTTGTATTTAATTATTTTATGTTAATTTTTTATTATTTTTAATTGTTTCGTATTCAGTTTTATTATAAGATTTATTTTAAAGTAATTTTTGTAATACTAATTTAAGTAGTCATTTTAGTTTAAATTTTTTAAATAAATATTAGTGAGCAACTATACATAATACATACATGTACCTGGAACGTATGCACGGGGCGCTGCAGTAGGAAATATTGCGACAGCACAGAAGTGCGAGCGCCTGGGTTTTAATCCGGCGCTTTATTAACGCCGGTTTAAATTGGGTTAAAATCTATTAACGTCCGAAATCGAGGGCAAAAACTATTTTCTACTAAATATTTAGGAAATGAAACTATTTTTCCGGATTTAAATCGCGTATATTTGTTATTTCAAACTAACCGACATTTCGCGACAAATATACGCGATTTAAATCCGGAAAAATAGTTTCATTTCCTATGTGTAACAATCGCGAGAACCTAAGAACTCGATAATAAATATTTGTTCTAAATCGAGTTTTGTTCAATTTAAATGACATTATATTTTATACATTAGGTTTTCGCGATTGTTACACATAGGAAACGAACATATTTTTGCGAATTTAAATCGCGTATATTTGTTTTTTCAAACAAACCAACGTTTCGGGCCCTTTACAGGTCCCATGGTCACGGCTGGCTGACATAACGTTATTACAGACAACACATTGTCTATAAATATTATATTGCTTTATGATTTGGAAATATGTAGAAATAGAAACCGTTTATTGTAACGCCACATTATAAAAAAAACACAAAAACAAAGACTAATATAACTAAAACAGAAATAACACAAAGAACAGCGTAAAAACATTTCAACAACAAGTTACATAATACCTGTGATAATACTATACTGACATGTGTGCGGCTGTGGCGTGTACAAAAGGATCTCATTCCGCTAAAGTCACAACCAAGGCTAGGTTGTGACTCTGGTTTTCAATGGGCCCTAGTCGAGAGATTTAGACAATTCGATTTGCCTTTCCATTTAATCAAACCGTAAAATCAAAAAAATGCACTTCATTTCCATAAAATCAAATCGAAACGTGTATCCTTAATAGTGAGAATCCACAGGTTATTATTTATTTACATCGAGTTTGGAACCAGAAATATTAACGAAATATCATTTAATTTGTTTGAAAACTATTCTGCCAAATCATTACTGTGACAATTGTTTCACCTCAAATCGACCAGCTTAAGTTGAGCTTTGCTGTAATGGACGAAAATTGCAAAATTACATATATTTAATTACCGATGAAATGTGACTCCGTCTGTTTTGTAATTAGATATTTTACTGTTTTTCCAACACCACCGAATGAAACAGCCCCCATTGTTAGAGACTTTATTACAATAATTACAGAATATTTTTGGAATATACGGACACAGGTCAGTTGTTGGCGCTGTAGTATTTCAGTTTTTTAATTTGTGATATCAGCACAAACGAGAGTTGATATATAAAACTGATATAAGGCCCATTTACCTGATGAGTTGGCAGGGATGGATTATTTTGTCTCTGTTTCTGGTTATATACTCGATGTTTATTTATTACACACGTGGTAGTCTAATATCGAACATCGTATGCTAGTTGGCTGCCTATTTTCAAACAAAGTTCGACACTGCGTGAGATTCGCCTTATTTTTACTTTACTTAATTTTTTAGCCTTTTTATCTGTAGGTATACCAGATTCCTAATAAACCTACCAGATACCCAATATGCCTCATTCATATTCATAATTTTTATAGATTCATAATACTTGTAATATGTATAAAGCTTCCAACAATATAATTACCTATGTTGTTACAGATCGAGCTAAGCGATTTCACGATGATTGAAACAAAATTAGCCATATTGAAAGTTGACAGTGGACTGGTAGAAATATTGAATACTATACGAGTGCGATGAATTACAACTAATACATTGGATTATATTTTTATATTATACAACTTTTAGCATATTTTACATATGTCTGTTTATTTACAAAGAGTTGGTGCGAATGAGACATAGAGTGAATGGGAGGGTGCCACCTGAGGTGAAAACGTACTGTACGAGTGGATGTTAGAAATACAGGAGAATACTGACTATATTTCGTATTTGTTTATAGTAAATAAAAGATATGATTCTTTATAGTTTGCTTTATTTCCCTTACTTCCTTCACTAGACTTAATGGGGTGCACGAAAACCGCCTCCCCGCACAGCCTACCAAATACCTCTCTTGTAGGTATGTCTGGCGCATCCTGAGAAACAAACAATCGGAGAGAATCTTAGGTCGATTAGCAAATTCTTTCACCACGATGACAAACAATATACTGTATGCTTAGACTAAGTCCATCCTCTAAGACTGTAATAGTATGTCATCGATACGATAAAAAAGTAAATCGATACCAAATGTTTATTATTAACCGACTTCAAAAAAGGAGGAGGTTCTCAATTCGACTGTTTTTTTGTATGCATGTTACGCAATAATTTGTGAACCGATTTTGATGATTCTTTTTTTGTTGGAAAGAGGGACAATATAAACTTGAAGAAAATATTCCACCTCTAAGAGTGGCACACCAGAGGTAGAATCAATTTTCGCGCACTTTCCGGTAACGGATTTCAATGAAACTTCGCAAATAGATTTAATTCCGCGGACTTTTGATGTTTATGCCCAAAATCGTATACGAAAAAAAAGTTTACATTCTTTACTTGCAGCTTTGTTATCTTTGTAAAATAATAAGATAATAATAATAATGCTTTATTCTTACACGTTATGTAAGTGAATAAACACTAGTGAATCCCAGCAAAAAATAAATTTAATGACAAAGAACAGAATAGTTTGTAACAAAAAGAGTCCAAAATGAAATAGGAACACAAATTTTATCGAGTTCTTAGGTTTTCGCGATTGTTACAAATAGGAAATGAAACTATTTTTCTGGATTTAAATCGCGTATATTTGTTTTTTCAAACAAACCGACCGACGTTTCGGGCCGTTCAGTCAATCGTGACCATGGGACCAATATAATAGGGAAAAATAGATGCATGGCCGTACGATTATAGCTCTGTGGTGCGATGTGATTTCTGTCACAGATCGCACATCACTATTGTAATGTAAACTTTCGTTCATTCAACCGACCAGTGTGGCCAACGTAGGCGATTTATCGCCATTTAGGCTACTCAGGACGAAAATCAGCGACGAAACGACAGTTTTCTTCAATACTTTGTGAATAGGTTCATTACGTAAAACAGATAAAAATAAATTAATAATGATTATATATACTAGTTAGCTGTAATATGTAGTAGTTAACTGCCTCCGTGGCCTAACGGTTACCACGCCGGCCTGTCATGCAGAGGTCCCAGATTCGATTCCCGGGCCGGGAGAAATATTTGTATGGCCTATATTTATTTCTCTCGAAAACTTGAGTGTAACTTGTGGTTGTCTATGTGTGTGTCCATAGCACCCGCGACACAGGGTTTTCCCTAGGGCGGGGCTATGTTGAGTGTGTGCGTTATTATTATTGTTATTATTACTAGTAGAATAATGCTATAAGTATTAATTATAGCAGTGCCAGGAATGAAAAGAAATACATGATATTTATTTCGCAAAATTTCAGCCTAACCTATTTTCAGGGTTAACTTGAAATGCACATAACCTCAACGAAAAAGGCTACTGCCTTAAAATTTTTCCTTCGAAGATGTTTTTCCCGCAGCTTTCTTCTTTTCAGTTTTTTAGGGAATCAATATATTCCCGTATTTTTGTAATCAAATGCTGCACAGAAATAAAGTAAAGTAAAATAGAGAAATAAAGTAAAATAATAATAAATAATTATTTCTTAAAGACTTTGTTTACAAAAACACTGACAAATTTATAGCTAAAGCTGTCAAAAGCGAACGCTCTACAGTGGTGTCATCTGGAAGGAGTAATAGGCAGTTATTTACTCTATTATGTCAATTTATTACTTTTATTTGATTCTACTTAGCTTTCATTTGTCATTTGGATAAATTATTGATTTAAACTACAATATTGTTATATTTATTGCTGTTTTTCATTTGATGTTTAGGCTACCACAGTTAAAATTCGGCTACATTAGGCTACTAAGGTTAGGATAAATGGCGACATTGGACCCGGGGTTGTTGGCAACACTGCAACCGACAGCGGCAGCCGTTTTTATTGGTGACTATTTTTGATCTAGCGTAACGAATTTATTCAGGCTAATGAAAAATAAACATTTATGACCATTAACTTACGCGTGTGGTATAAATTTTACGTTTACTATTATTAAATAACAGTTGTAATTTTCGTGTAAAGTTTGGAAATAGCTAATTGACAAAATGAGTTTGGACCGGACGAGCGCGGACGGTTTGTATTGTGTGATTTTTATTGAAAGTGGTACTTTTATTGTAGCGGCATCGCGTTGGTAAGCATCGCTGTTGTGTTATTACTAAATATAGATATATTTTGCAGAATATTTCGTGACGGCTCTGCAAATTTTCGAACACTGCGGCGCGGAAAGCGCCGGTGCGTTACGCGTAGATGCCTTGATGGATAAATTTGCTCCTTTCGTTAAAACTAACAAGTAAGTCCTGTGTATCCTTTTCACTAAATCCTTGTTGAGTTAGTCGTGTATTGTTAATATCTGCTATGCAGTAAATTGGACTCTGAACCTTTTTTTTCTACATTTATACATCTATCCTTTTTAGAAACCTATTATTGCGACAGAAGCATTACAATAACAATAATATTTGTCCTATATTGTTAATTCATTTTCTGACAATATCCCTTACATATAATGTTGGTCTTATTGTACTTGTAGATTTTTTATGGTATTTTATTTGTCGCTTTTGCTCAAATGTGTGTGTCTTTGTTCATTATTAATTTACTCTTAACCATTACAGGCTATGATAAAAAGTCAGATGTACTCTTGCCAAATTCGATGTAATTAACAAGTAAAACATGATTTTTAGGGTTTTTTTCACCTTAGACTGGTTTACAGTTATCTCTGAAAACAAATTAGGCTATTGATAATTCTAATCTTGGAAGTCATGTCTGTGATGAATTTTGTTCAATCACTTTAATTATAATGGGTTTAAATTTTTTTTGTCTTCAAAATATATATAGTAGCAGGTAGATACATGAAAAAAGTAAGAAAGTTTATAGATACAAAATTTCCTTGAGCGCCGTACCCTGGGGCATTGTGCCCTGAAGGCTGGCAACGTTTCCCCTTTGAATTGCTAAACTTATTTGTTAGTGGTAATAACTGCCAGGCTTGTGGTCATTGGAGTCTTGTACGAGGTGATCCGTCAGCTCATTCGCTAGAAGTTTCGCCTGTCGCCCTCAAGGATTCAACGGCACAAAGGCACAAAGCTGAAGCACTGAGCAAGTTTGGCATATTTGAGCCTTTTGCAGTTCTCTGTGCTGCCCACGCTTGCTTTCAGGGCTAATTATATATTTAATTGTAATTATCATACCAATTACTAGTAATTAATTATTTATATTAATGATTTCTCTGAGAGATAAAGTTCACAAATACCATGTGTCTATAGTTTCACCAACACCCACTCTTACCTTTAAAACGGGACTGCTCTAATTTTTCACTCTGTTTGGCACCAGAAATAGGTAAGGTGGCAGTGGTACTGCTACTACTGTATTTAAAAAAAAAGCAAATACACGCGATTTAAAGCCAAAAAATACTGTCATTTCCTATTTTGACTATATTTTTGTGTCATAGTTTATGAAATGTTTTTTTTTTCTACAATGTCCAAAAGAATCCTGATATGATGATGAAAAGCTGTATTAACTTTTTTTAAACCAACAGCTCAAATAAAATAAACTACTTTATATATTCCAAACATTAAAGTTTGAATAGTAAATATAAGTTCATAATTGAAAATTGATGTTGGATGAGATAATGTCATGAATTCATATAAAATCTTACAATTTTGTTTTAATTTCATATATCATTATCCACTATCTTGCAGTAAGTATTTAAAGGTGTTTAAAACTTAATAATTTTATTCATAAATCATATGTGTCTATAGATACTTGGTATAGGTGCAAACTTTATAATAATTGACCATGTAAGTATTACTTGTACATAATTAAACTACCAATTACCTATTTAAATTCCAATTTTGCGTGAAGGCCTTGGGCTGAGCTAGGTTTAATAATGAGTTTTGACAAAAAAGTTATTTTATGCCATCTTTCTTTGCCTAGCTATGTTTTGTTATTAAACATTCTGTCAAATTTGGCTGTGGTATAGAAATATGCACTTCTTAATCCTTTGTAGTGAGCCCCTTTAACATATTTGGTTTAAATTGAGTTATTAGGTTATCACGATTCCTACGCGTTGGGAATGTATTTATTATTCTAACAAACCAATATTTCAGGCTGTATACAGGTCCCATGATCATGGCTGAGTCGTTGACTGTTTTATAATTAATTTGTATCTCTTGTCATTTTTATTGTATTACATGTAAAATTTTAATGTTTTGATTTTGATTTGTTCACTATATGACATATAAATAAATATGTCATTAGTAATAATAATATAATAGTAATAACGCACACACTCAACATAGCCCCGCACTGGGGTAACCCTATGTCGCGGGTGCTATGGACACACACATAGACTACCACAAATGACACCCAAATTCACGAGTGAAATAAATGTAGGCCATACAAATATTTCTCCCGGCCCGGGAATCGAACCTGGGTCTTCTGCGTGGCAGTCCGGCCGTGGAGGTAGGCATTAAACAAGTATAATATATAAAGGACAATGAACTGTAAATAATTTTCCTTATGGTTTTGCAACAATGTATTTACAAAACATAAATCACATGTATTTTGTTCTAATCACAAACGTGACTAATAAGCTATACATGATTAAAAAATATGGCTACAACAGCACTATTCTGTAATCTGTTCAATTATTCTGTACATGTGTCGAAAAATAATTCATGAAGACCCCACCTCGCCTTGGGCCTGCCTTATCAGGCAGTCTTAAGTAATTTTTTGAAATTTTTATGATTCCAATCGACAGGACGAATAAGTTGTGTACCTGGTTGTAAGAGACACGCCTGTCCATAGCAGTTGCAGTACCAATTAGAACTTTAAATCGCAAAGATCTTCTAAGGGGCACTGTTGCTACGTCCGGCTCCTTGAGACATAAGTTGACAAGTTCCAAGCGCCTGTAGTTTCACCAGCACCCTTACCCTTTCAAACCGGAACGCAATCATTCTCACATTACTGCTTGGCGACAGACATAAGTAAGGTGGCAGTACTTCTCTGAACGATCTCTTTGACTGTTCATTCAATTGATCCAGTACTTGTTTTCCCAGGGCTGAATACACCTACCTAAGATCCTTGTTGGACCCAGAGCACAGCAACCCTGAAATCAACGTGACCAAGCTGGCTACTGCATTGCACGAGTACAGCGAGAGCCAGAAGTCGAAGGCTGATCTAGATGAAAGGTGAATAAAATACTTCTGTCTTTTTTCTAACTATTGTAAGTCGCAGTGGATAAAATTTTCTGGCCGCATATTTTTGGTTTAGTTCACACCGTGAGCTGCAGCTGCAGAGCTGGTATTGGAATTGTTCTTTTTTTATAATGCCTTTTGCAACATGCGACCGCCCCTCCTGCATAAGGCGGAATTCTCGCGCGTGCTCGAGAATGCTCGCACATTCCGCGGAAGATTTTGGCTCGTATCTAGTTTGTACAATGGACCATAAAGTTCGTTATGTACATAGTATAATGAACTATGTACATACAACATCGTTATAAAAATTCGCTTCCATTCCTTTCAGCGGCAATATAAATTGAGCCTTAGACTGCCTTCGTCTTTCCAATTTCTCCTTCCCGTACTCCCACTTGTGGCGCCTCCTCAATCGTCTGTTATTTGGAGGTCCGTTCAGAGCTTGTCCAAGTCTGTTTTCATATTTTTGTCATGCTACTTGTCTCCTGTTTGACAGTTGGAATTTTTAGATAATAATAATAACTTTATTGATAGCCATTACAAATACTACAGGAATAATACAGTAATTATTAGTCATTGATTGACTGCTGACCCGTTAGGCAACATCCAGACCCCATAAAAGGCTTTAACCTGTGTTAGCAAATAGTACCGTTGCCGCCACGGATCTAATCGAATTGTTATAAAATCAATAAATGGCTTACAAGTAAACTAAAAGGAACTTTGTAGTCCCAAAACCAGTACAATAAAACTGTTCATTTGGGACCCAGATAATCATGGACATCATCCATTTTTGAGTACCATGGAGTTTTTATCTAAGTTTTGAGCACCCTAAAATTCTTCTAGCAATTAGTTATTTTCATACATCGAGGCGAGGTCGCCACAGAAGATCAGCTACAGTCACCAGACTGATATTTTTACTATACAGTAGTCTTTATTGCACACAAGAACATAACAGGATAACAGGATATATTAATTAATGGAGGGTGAACCAAAAGGCCACTAAACACGAATTTATTATACATTTATAGAACTTGCACAATTAAAATATATAAAATATATTATCGTCAACTTACAAATTTAATTAATTCATTAATTTTAATTCCTTTAATTTTTTTACTTCACCTTTTTTATTATTTGTAAGAACACATGTGTTTATATATATAATTACTTATTGTTGGCTATGAATGAATCATTTTCTCTACTTCTATTCTATACATAAAAAAGGTGCTGGTTATGCAACGATTAATGAAGAATGTTCGCTTTTAGAAGCTGAGTACTACTTACACAGTTAAAACAAAAATATCTGATAAGTTTGTTAGTACAAACGGAAGGTATAATGTCAACTTAAATAGTTTCAAATAAATCTGTTTTCATTTGTGGAATTTGAATTGTTAAATTCATCAACTGCTACATTCACTTTTTTTTATTACAGTTTTAACTTAAAAGGTGGAATAATGCCTCAAGATTCTGACTCAGGTATTTCTTCAGATGGTAAGTAGTGTCAATAATTTCTTTTTTTATGATACTAAGGGTCGTATTCCAGAACTCTACTCAATGCTCAAGTCAGGACTTGAGCAGAGTATGATTTCAAGCACTGGAAATACGACCCTAATGGCAAGGACTTGAGTATGATTTTCAGTGCTCACTGCAATACTCAAGTCCTGACTTGAGCATTGAGTAGAGTTCTGGAATACGACCCTTAGTGACAAGAAGAGCAAATAGTGTTCCTGGTGGTAACCGACACGCCTGTCCATAACATTGCAATGCCACTTGGAGCTTCATACAAACCTGTTTCTTCTATAGACAGTATCTCTCGAAGCAGTTCAATATAAAATGTTCAAACGCGATTCAATATAAAATTACCCATATATTATATACATATACGCATTTTGTACAGATAAGTTCGCCGTTTTGCAACAAGCAAGAATGTTATTACAATTTGTTGATTTGTAATTTTTTATAAATATTAAAATCACATTTTGTTCTGGGTAACAATAATGTGTCAGATAAATTACGCGGTCTCAAACTAGGGAATTCCGTGTACAATGAGTACCTGAGTAACGGAATATACACCGGGACATTACCCAGTCAGATAGATCAGAGCCAATTCAAAAATGTTCAGTTCCCAAATTAGTTCTATCCACAATCGAACCAAAAACTTCCCCATTCAGCACCCGCAGTGTAATCCTTTGGGCCACCGCGGTCGTAAAAGGTTAATTTATACATGCAAAGTGAAATAATAATTTATCCATAGATGAAATAAATTTACACTTAAATACGTCGTTCACTGTGCCGACATCCCTGAGAAGAACGAGGAAGAAACTGTAGGGATTGCTCTTTTCAAATAAAGTTAAATGACACTGGTATACACTTTGAATCAAATTTGTGTGGAGTGAATGAATTCAAGACAGTTGCTATTGAACAGGTTTCCAGCTGGTGGAAGAGCTGCAAAGTGAACTGCGCGAGAAAGCACACCTAGCCCATAAACTGCGTACCGAGCTCGACTTCACTGACCGACAACACGAGGAGGCACTGGCTGCGCTCTCCGCTGAAAGAGACTCTTTGCGCTCACATCTCAATATGTAAGTAGAGATTAACTAGTTCTGGATCACTGTAAAACCAGTTGAAGAAGAATCTTTACAGTACGGTGATGGTGTGTGCATGTAGGTTCAAGCAATTCTGTTGCAATAAATCTGCCTCCATGGCCGAACGGTTACCATGCGGTCTGCCACGCAGAGGTCCCAGGTTCGATTCCCGGGCCGGGAGAAATATTTGTATGGCCTAAATTTATTTCTCTCGTGAGTTTGGGTGTAATTTGTGGTTGTCTATATGTGTCTCCATGGCACCCGCGAGACAGGGCTTCCCTAGTGCCTATGGGCTATGTTGAATGTGTGCGTTATTATTATTATCTGTTTTAAATAATAATACATTCACCTTTCGAATATCAATTGAGAGTTGCCAAAATACCCAATTTTTTTTTGTTTCAAGTGACGGAATGAAATTTATTAAAATTAGAGGCACATGGGACTTGTCAACTTATGTCTCAGGATGACGGTCGAAGTGCAGTGCCCCTCAAATCTTTGCGATTTAAAGCTCTGAGTGGCACTGCAACTGTTATGGGCAGGCGTGTAGCTTATAATCAGGCGCACGACTTGTTCGTCCTGCTAGTTGATATTATAAAAAAAAGCTTTCAAAATTCATCGTTAAGATGTTTAGGTAAAAATTGACATTGGTACAGGCTACGCGATGAGAACATAACGCTGACTCACGTGCGACGCGATTACGAAGACGCGTGTGACCGACTGTGCAACAGCGAGCTGGCGCTCGGTGAGACTAGACAGGAGCTGGACAAATGCAAAAGGAATAACAGAGTTTTGGAGGAACATGTCTCCGAACTGGAGATCGAGGTGAGTGATACTGATCTAATTGTCATATGCCTTGTATATTGACCAACGGACATTCTTCGTGTCTAACATAAAATAACGTACCATTTGGTACCTAATCCAGACCAAAGCCAGCTAACAATTAACCAGACAATGTAACAACCTCTGTTGATTTTAAATTGTTTCTGTCTACCAGTCAAACTTATCACAAAGATTGTTATACTGTAGCTGAGTGTGTAAAATTACCCGACGAAAATTGGTGGCGTACGATAGACTGTACCCGAGTTGCATGATTAAGAAATTAATAAATAAAATAAATAAATAAATAACAAAATCCACAAGAAAAGTTAGCAGAAATTTGAGTATGACGTTTGTCAAGTTTCGTCGCAGTAGATCTCATTGTGAAAGAGTTCCTCCAGGGAAGTACTGCCACCATATCTATTTCTGCCGCGCGGATATTGTGAGCATTGCGGTTTTGCAAGGTAAGGGTGCTGGTGAAAGTACGGACACTTGGGACTTGTCAAAGAGTAACGGATGTAATGGCACTGCCGCTTAGATATTTGCGATTTGAAGTGGCACTGCAATTGTTATGGGTAAGCTTCTCGCTTACCACCGGTAAGACTTGTTCTTCTCGTCACTATTAGGCACTTAACCTGAAAATACAGATAACTTGCATTAATAAGCCTTTTATTCAGAAATCGGCCCTGCAAGAACTTCTTACCAAGTCAAAAGACGAGTGCCATCGCATCAATGAGATGTACGCGTCGCGACAGTCCGCGTTGCTCGAGGAAAATGAGACCCTCAAAACGGAAAATGCCGATTTGAGCACGCGGCTGCAGGACCAGGAGGAGTTTATGCAGCAGATTATTAAGGAAAAGGTAATTATGCACACCCCACTGAGGCTTTCACTCTCGCTGTATTTTCGCGTCCCGGCAAAAAAAAAGAGACTCGGTGCGGTCTCGAAAATCGCTGTAAAAATAAAACGAGACTTGATACTTATAGGCTAGACATTTAGGCAGTTAAAATATGATATTTTAAAGAAATTCATTATTAAGTTAAAATACTAATGATTAATAATAATGATGATTTAAATCGCGTATATTTGTTTTTTCAAATCAACCAACCAACAAAATAAAAAAATTAAATAAATAAAAAAAAATTTAGGAGCAAAAATGAATCGTTGTGAGACAGCACTACATAAAGAGTATATCACCATCCCTTTTTTTGTCGTTACGAACCTATACTGAACTGTAATAAGAGTTCATGGTAAGGCCCCTGGATTATTTTTTAAATACTAACAATCTCGCAGGACTATATTACTAACATCATAAACAATAACTTTTGTTACATAACTTTTTACAAGGCAATAAATGTACCAAAAAATTTTTGTTGTAACTACTATCTGTCTACTTTTTAGATGTGTATTTATAGTAAGTTGCATCGAACTGAGATTTACGCTAACGCTTCCTTTTGTTGCCACTCAAGAGTTCCACAGATGAAAGAAAGTGTCTGTGATTCTAACGATTTAGAACAATCTATTTAAATATTTATATTTTTGTGCGACAGTAAAATGTGATGTATTAATAAAAGCCATGGAACAAAAGTTGTTGTTGTTTATGGTTTTAGTTAGTAATATAGTCCTGCAAGATTTTTAGTATTTTACAAATAATCCTGTGTAGTAGGAACGTAAGATATAAAGGGCGTTTACTGTAGTTTCAGATAGAGTTTTTCAATCTCCACCAATTTTACCAAGCTACGATGTACAGTGTTTTTACGTCCATACAACCAGAATAAAAAATTGACTTCGGCCTCATATGTTTCAATATTTCAGAGACTGGAAACATCAGCCACAAAGTTACGAGGCTCGCGAAATTATCACACACACAAGTTTCTCACTAAGTGCGATTGACATTGCTGTCAATTTTATATGGAAACCACACATTTGGAGCTTGTTAGATGTAACATGAAGCCTAACAGTTAACACGTTCGTCGCTGACTAAAATTTTCAAAAATGTTCAAATTATGACATTGGCTATATGGCTGTTTTTGGTCTCAATTTGTATACGTATATAATTTTTTTTCGATATTTCATTATTTGGCTCTAGTTTGGGATTATATTTAGTGCCGGGCATTATAACCCGGTGCGGCCTAAACGCAATAATTATTACGTTTAGGCCGCGCCGATCGCTATGCCGGGCAGACTATGTACACGTAATGTTCCATCGATGTTTACCTAAAACTCATGTACGTCTTTCATTTGAGATTGACATTTCACATTAACCATTTTTTTTTGCTTAGTGTGTAACTTTTAAATCCAATTTAAAATTAAAGTACCTTTTTTTTTTTATTCGAAATATATATACTTTTTCCGTTTAGTCTTTTTAGGATTTTTGATGGCATACATAGCCATCAAAAATCCTAAAATCCAAGTGGCAACAGCAGTTCATCAGGGCCACATCTATAATATAATAATAATAATAACGCTCACACTCAACATAGCCCCGCACTAGGGAAACCCTGTGTCGCGGGTGCCATGGACACACACATAGACAACCACAAATTACACCCAAACTCACGAGAGAAATAAATGTAGGCCATACAAGTATTTCTCCCGGCCCGGGAATCGAACCTGGGACCTCTGCGTGGCAGTCCGGCATGGTAACCGTTCGGCCACGGAGGCAGTTAAAATAGCATGAGGCATCGGTCATGTTATATGGCTAAATACGTAGCGTTTGCCACCTGCAGCGTGAATGAGCATCGCAAAGTTAGGTGCGACGTGCCGGTCATTTTAACCCCTCACAGAGCCCCAATATATAGATGAGATGCTGGTCATTTTGACCCACCACGGCGATGTACGTGTTAAAATTTATGAATACAAAGATCGAACGCACAGAAATATTTTCGTTGAACTGGTGGGACTTGAACCCACGTCCATGCTGCACCATAGCATTGCTCTAACCATGAGAGCCACGGGTCCAGTTACAGAGTCGTCGAAATTCTCGTATGTGTTTTTGATATAGATCTTGTACTGTTCTACTTTGTTGTAGTTTGTATTCACAATCATAACAAAACGAGCGTAGCGGTACGAGTCACACCGATATCTTGATATATGTAAGAAACATCATCTTTTGCCACTAGAGGTGAAACGTCAGATAGCAGACCTAGTATTTTTGCGAAAAATTGCTTCTGGTGCCGTGGACTCTCCGAAAATCGTGACAAAATCCTTTAGGTTTCAAAGTCGTGACAAAGTCCATTTTTGTGCGTATCTCTGGGCTCTTCGAATTTTCGGCGAAATACATGCGAGTAATAGCTTCAATGTTTTGTCCAAGCAAGTCAATATTGACGTTTTTGACACTAGTTTTGCGTCGGAGAAGCGTATTCTTAGTAGTTTGTTTTTTTGGCGAGTAGGTATTTACTACATGTTGCGAAAATGCCATTACCTATATTTATAGTTACTAGTTATATAGTTATAATATAATGCTCATTAATCAACTTAATGTGTGTCTATCGGTGAGGACCTATAACTGGATCTCCATTATTATTTCAGTTTTTACTCTGTAAGATAGCCGTTGGTCTTCCAATAAGTTAAAATAAAATAAAACAAATAAATAATAAATAAAATAGAAACTAGGGGAGTTATTTTACGAAAAATCTCAATAAATACAGTTGAAATTTATGTTCAGGTACTCCTAGAGATGGAGCTAAAGGAGTTGTTGAACAAATCGAACCAGACCCAACTCCGTCTTGACCGGTCCATCGACGTCTCATACACTGACGAGCAAATGCTCACGGCACTCGACACGCTTAACGCTGACAGCCGCTTCACATCCGGTAAGCCTTATCCGTTATACTATGAATCCACGAAATGCGAGAGGTGTATTTTTTAATCTTTTTTCCTGTTAAGAATGCAGTATGATGTTCAAAACTGGCTAATCACTTGCGGTAAAAAATGGAAACTTACAAATTAGTATGTATCTCTGTGTCGTCGCAAATATTTTTACACTGAAACTAATAACATAGTATAATAAGAGCAAGTACTCCAACTTCCGCCTTTTCTCTTTACACTTCGCTAGGGTTGTCACATTATTATTTGAGTTAAAACATTATTTGTGAAAATATAGGCGTTCAACACAGTATTCTCGTAGAGAGATATTAAAATAACCTTTGTTAAATGCAGTAAGTACTTACGTATTCATATTTTTATACCAGCATCACGACTGGTATCTTGATTATGGAGTATGATTATGAAATAGAAATTAATTGCTGAACGATTCTGAATTTGTGGCACTCTTGATCAAACTAGCACAAACAACAATAAAGACGTTGTGATGTGACGACCCGAGCTATATATAGGAACGCGAGTGCACCACGAGATTATGCGACTGTGTGCGTCTGTACACGCCGCGCGGCGGGCGTGCACACATACAAGGCCGTGCTGCTTTGTTTGTATGGAGTTACCATACTTGCCTTATTATACTATGCTAATAGTTCTTTAGATGTAAAGCAAATTTACTTAACGGGAAAACATTCTAGAGTAATACGCAACATCATACAACAATACTGTAATGTTAGTGTGCTAGCACTGTTCAGTCATTCATTCAAACAAATTGTTTGTCCATGTATATAACATGCTAATTGTGTTGTTTTTTCATCAGAAAATGTATGTCTTAAGGTGGCGACTGACCGACAATCTTATCGTAACGTAACATTCGCGGCGAGCGTGTTACCTTACAGCATTAACTGACCGGTGCAATTGCTCGTTTTGAACTCCGCGCTCGGCCGTGCTTCGCAGTTGAAACGTCAAATGGCGAACTCCTGATACTTGGTTCTGTGATTTCACTCAATCATGGTATAATCCAAATTATGAAAAACAAAATTTTAAGTTGTATAAAAGCAGAAGCATAATTGAGTATATGATAAATTGTTCTTTAACATAAATCGCGACGACGTCGCTCCGAGCTGTATTGACTTAAAATTGAGGGGTAACGTAACGCTCAAAGAGATTCGTCAAAAAATCGACAACCGGGTGGAGAGCGCGGCGCTCGCGGCGATCGGCAGGCTGATTTCAATTCAAATGGGAATCGACAAGGCTCGCGCAAGTCGCGTGACTTGCTAGCTCTGTACGAATGTTCACATGTTACGTTGCGCTGAAATGATCCGGCCAGTCTCCGCCTTTACAACCTTTGCACTTTTTTGCAAAATTATTCATTAACTGGGTTGGAATTTGGCTTATACATTTAATTCGTTCATTCCAATAGAACACCAACTTCTTGACGAAGAATCATTCTTATGCGCGTTAAAGGAAGATCAAGGTCGACCCACTAATATGTCTTTATTTGACGAGATCCGACTCAGCTTCTGTCTTCCACGACAAAACGCAAGTGAAGTCAACGAAAATCAATTTGATAACTGCATAGATAATTTTGAAAATTGTTGCTTTACCATTGGAACTCAAACTGATGAAGACTTTGATGAAAATGACGGATCCAAATATGATAGTGGAGAAAGTCTAATATCACAAACCGAAATAGTTGACAAATATACTCAAGGAACACAGACAGAAGATTATATCTGCGATTGTAAAGTACAAGACAATAGTACACAACCGGAATTAGTGACAATCGAAAGTTCAAAAGAAACAAACAATAATATCGAATGCATAAAATGTTTTCAATGTGAAAAGCTTCACAATTACTCGACCAAATTAGAATGTGATTTAAAGTTATCCCAAACGACGATAAAAGACTTACAACAAGAACTTGCCACTTATGAGGGTAATTTGGATTTGTTAGATAAGTTTCTAGACGAAGGCAAAGATACGAATAATTACTTGCAAACTGTGGTACATAGCTTGCAATCGAAACTTGGTATTTTGGAAGCGGCGGTTATGGAACAGACAGACAGATTGGACGTTTTGAACAACGATAAATGTAGCGCTGAATGTCAGACTGAAAGCGGTAACTTCTCTTATGTTTTGTAGGATATCGTTTAGTCGGTCGTCAGTTGTTTTAAGCGGATATATAAAGCGAGTGAGACCACCTTCCATTGTCTAATTCAAATTGACACTTAAGCGCAGGCCACACCGCGAACGAAGCTAAGCTTACTTAGCTTAGCTCACGTAGTTGCATGCAACCAACTATGCCTGCTAACTTAGCCTAGCTTCGTAGTTGCATCCAAAGCTAAACTAAGAAATTACGTAGTAAGTAGTGACATGCTACACTATGAATACAAGGCGGGTGTGAAGAGCGGCAGAAGGGCGACATATTTTACATGGCTTAGCGGGATCGTTGAGTTAGTTCTAGTAGCTCGGTTAGCTTAGTTCGCGGTGTGAACCGAAGTATGTAAAGGTGGCCCGGCTACGTGAGCTAAGCTAAGTTAGCTTATTTTCGTTCAAGGTGTGGCCTGCGCTTTAAAGTTGATAACTTAATACTACTTATTGACGACCTCGGTGGCTTAACGGTTTGCACTGTGGGCGCTGAATGAATACCCGAGTTCGATTCTCAGTACTACCAATTTGAGAAATTAACTTTTCTAAATTGGTTCTGGTCTGTGTTCTGGGTAGTACCCTGGAGTGAATTCCGTTGCTTTGGTACTTATAATACAAGGAATTCCCTAGTTTGAGACCAGGCCACTTGGCTTTTTAGTTGCAAATTTGTTACAATGGGTCTACAAATATTGTAATCCCTTCACTCATCGTCGAGTCATGTCGAGTTAGTTTAATAGAATGTGGTTCCTATTTAGTCTGGATATTGGTTTATTTTGCCTAACTAACTGATTTAAGGTGAGCTCAAACGCGATATGCCCGCGAAAAATATCTGATGTCATTAGACATTTTGTGATCGTCCTTCATTTTATTGTTGTAGTTGTGTTGTCCTAGGTGTTGGAAAATAATCATATTGTACGAAAGTTTATAAGTACATAGCAAAGATTAGTACGTTTATATTGTGGTACCATCAGCAAAGTTGATGCTTTCCAAGTCACAAACAATAATTTTGTTTGTAAGCAGCGGTTGTAGCTAGACCCGTCTCTTATTTTGTTGACACATTTTTTTCGTGAAATTTTTGTTTAGAATAACAACATCTGGCTTTTAAACGCCGTTGTAATCGCTACGAACAAAACGAACCCTGCAAGTGGTAATACATCCACTTCGCTGAAAGTGTATGTGTATTTATTTTAAATTTATGTACGATACTTTGTTAGTGTAGTTGTAGTGTAAATGTAGTTATAATTATACATACTGACATGTAGGTAACGGTGCCTTATTTTCGCTTTTGAGCGACACACTTTAGACGAATCTATTGGAACACATTTATTCCTAAAAAATGGAAGTAAATTAATTTCCTACTCCGCGTATCTAAGCGTGTAAGTAAATCTTTCAAAATTTCATTATAAATATTCTTATTATTTTGCGTGATTTAATTTTCACGTTCGTTCACACGAGGTAGCAAATTAATTTACTTCCATCTTTGTCAACATGGCTTTTCGTAAAGTAAAACCTGAATCTTAATTATTAACATTTTATTCTATACAAGAATTTACTCTTCTTTAAAATTCCATAATAAGATACCTTTACCTAATAATCGATATGTATTAATTTTGACTATTATTATTGATAGAAAAGACCGAACAAACACAAAGATAAGTTCCTTCTTTGTGAAGGCTCGAACTAGTGTGTCTAACATAACTGGGGCTACTGCGCTCCCAATATATACCGTTCTCTATCAATAATAATAACAATCCAGTGGGATATTTTCACAAAAATATACTAATATAATGTGTACTAAAAGCATTACGATATTCATTACAGATAAATATTACAATCATTTTGACTAGTTAACAGGTAATCTTTTTATTGATTGGTATCAGAGAGAATGTACTTCTATATTAGGGTAATGAAGATTAGACCACTATAGTTTGTCTTTTTTGAAGATGGAGTAAAATGAAGTGTTGCCCGCGTGCAAGAAACTAGTGATTGCAGTCGATAAATAGTCTATCGACTATCGTATGTCGACTGAATGTTGGTTACTATTATGCAGTAAATAGTCTGAACTTTATGCATTTGAATAATTACCGACCCATTATTCTTCCAACTACACACCGGGCACAGACTCACTTAAATTGTCACTTTTTGTAAGTTCATACACATCCACTGCATTTAGAACTATGTCTATTAAAAATACAAACAAGAGACATATTTTAAAGTTTTGCATTTTAAATAAATATATATAATCAAATACACCTATTGTTATTGAAATGTATATGAATAAAAATTTAATTTGATACTAATAAACCAACTGTTAAAATAAGAATAAAGAAGACAATAACGCAATTAGTAATCATTAGAACGTCGCGTCGTAACATTCACAATTCCGACATGTTTGGCAAAATTTTAACTTCTTTCACAATGTATCGATGAATCTATCGACAACTACATGACTATTTAAAATTTTAAGAAAACTGGCAACCACGGAAATGTCGTTTTACTTCCGTCTTCAAAAAAGACGAACTTAATAACACCTTATTGATGGTAAATATTTCAAGAGCTTTAACTTTACACGTGTTCATTTGATTTAATTCATGACTGATGTTAATTAAGGTCAGGTGGGGTATGAGGAATACAAGATGTACTTTATTTTGAGTCAAATGTTTTTAGATCTTGAAAGAACAGATAAAGTTTTATAAGAATTTTGATGTACACCGAACTTTGTTTTTCAGCTTTACGTGTTTTTACAATCATTACGCTAAATTCAATACTTACGAGGTATTTTCTGAAAACGTGCAAATTGTGCTAACGATTTTTCCCCAATAAGTAAGAGGAACATTCATCTTATTTCTTATAACGGTTATGTTTACCGCCTTTTAGATTTGGAGCATCGTGGCGACATCTCTTTAAAATCGTTTAAACAAATTTGTTTATCTGTTTTATCGACGGAGAGACTATTAGTACTAAACTCTTAAGATGATGAGTTAAGGCTTCAGGTCTCGTCCCTCGGTATTCCTCTTACCCACCAGACCTTACTTATGATTATTCTGTGTCACGTTGTCAAAAAATAATTGGAAGTAAATAGAAAGAAATTTTTAAAGTAGTTTTAGCTAAGTAACAGTAGAAATCCTTGTGAAAGAGTTCGTCCATGGAAGTACTGCCACCTTACCTATTTCTGTCGCCACGCGGTTTGGAGGGGTAAGGGTGCTGGTGAAATTATAGAAACATGGGATTTATCAAGTTATGTCTCAGCGTGACGGGCGCAGTGGCAGTGCCACTAAGATCTTTGGGATTTATAGCTCTGAATGGCACTGCAACTCTAATGGACAGGTGTGTCGCTTACAACCAGGCGCACGACTTATTCGTCCCGTTACTTGGTATTATATAAAAAAGCTATAATTACATAAAAATTGATACATGAAGTGTCTGAAGTAACTTTAAATTTATTTCAGATGTAATGTCAGTGTCTACTCAAGTGGAAGTACCATGCGCAGATTGCGTGAAACGAAACACAGTCGTGCCCCACAGCGGCTTAAGGCGATATTTGTGGTGGGTATTTTAATACTTATCATCTACAAGTTATAATAATGGACTTTGCCCTTAACTCTATACATAGAGAAGAAACGTCCCCAGCAGTTGGACATAATACTTCAGAAACGTTTGCGAGCGCAGGCATAATAACTCACAAAAGTTTTATCGCAATGGGATGAATAATAACACTAATTTTTATATATAAATATTTATATAAAAAAATTAATGTTATTATTTTTTTATACTATTATAATAAAATAAATAGTGTAATTGCTGTCTGTTCGGCGTACCGTACATCTCTCAGAGTGTAGGGTTGTCACATTATTATTTTAGTTATACCTGCTGCAGGGCTAATACGACAGGATGCGACTGAGCGAGGCGACAAACTGTTATTCTCGTTTAAAGATCTCCTATCGTGCTAGCCCTACAGTAGGTACAACTAATTGTCAATAAGGTGTTCATCACAGTACTCTCGTGCTGTATTGAAATACCCCTTGTCAAATGCAGTACTTACCTATTGATAATTTTATACCAGTATGATCATGAAGAAATGAAATCCAAGTTTGTATATACATAACTCCACATTTATAAATTAAATCATGTTAACAACCGAACGTTGAAGCGTTCGTTATCAATTCTATAATGATTGCAACGCGAGATTATTATAATGTGTGCGTCCGTACACGGCGCGCGGCGGGCGTGCACGCATACTAGCCCCTCTGCTGTTTTTGTATGGAATTATACTACTTGTTTTATTTATACTATGTATCTTACCGTATCTACATCACACTCATTTTGGTCTGTGTATACGCAATGACACACCCAATATGTATGTATGGGCAGATTGATATGAATACCATGCCATAAAGACTCTTTTAATTCCCCAAGTGTAATTAACGCGCATTTCACGCAAGTGTGTCTTGATTCGTAAAACGTCGGGAACGGTCGGTAAAACTCGACAGTTTTGCAGTTTATTAAGGTTTCAATTCCCCTGTTTCGACCTTGACCCGTAGTAGGCACGTGACACGATGTGGTTTCCTTCTACACATCGCAACTTGTGGATAAATTTATAGTCAATCTCGATACTTCCAATTAACACTACGCCAACTTAATTTTAGGAGCTGTTCTCTTTTTGTTTTGTTTATTGTTGCCATTTATTTTTCACAAAATTAGTTTTTTTGTTTTTTCCAATTTTGTTTTTTGTTTCTTAGTTTGTTTTTCACAAAATTCGGGGAGCATATTATTAGTAAATAAATATGGCTGTTTACAAAAATAACAGAAAATGACCAAAAAATAAAGTTGGCGTCGGTATAAATAAACCCTTGGCTTTTTTTAATGATCGTGTAGCGTGCAGAGTACCGTAGAGCAAGCATGTCCAATGAATAAAGACATTTTTAAACACAAATTACATTTTCGCAGCCTAAGCTGAAAAGAATTTACATTATTAGCGAACTGTTACAGTTCATCTGTACTCCAAATACGACTTTAATGTAATGGCCCATGACTGACTTCGGATCGGTGTCAATATTTTCTACGCGGATTGTTTCAAGTAAATCTTTCCCTTTCATTAAAGCCTGGATTTCACGAAGCCGGCTTTCCTGATCTGGCTTATTGGAATATGAGGAAAGGATGGTTTGAAGACATTAGTAACCGGTTCTAGTAGAACCGATCCGAAGCTGGGCGAGGTTGACACCGGCTTTGCGAAATCCGACCCAGTATCTTTGTTATAGTAATTTCGAGGTAGATTTCAAAATCTTTTTTGAACATTCACTCATTCGTAGTCATCATATTTGATTTATACATTAGATATGTTTTATACATTAGATACGTAGATTTTAAAATTTATATCTTAATATAAGATTTTTGGTGGGATATTTATGTATACAGTTTTGGCTTAGTAAAGGCGCGTTCCCATAATGTCGTAACATTTTATTGGACGACTGTCGCGTCTAGCCTGTTCCACCATCGTGTCGTGGACGTTTATTAACCGTTGAACGACTGTCGTGTCTAGCTGTTCCCACTACATCGTGACAACAATTTATCGGTTCACGGCAGCCGCCTTGTCGTTTGCACGACAGAATCGTTTGAAGCTGCGATTATCTGTCGTCACAATTTTGTCGTGACGTTTTATTTATCGTTGGACGACTGTCGTTCTAGCTTTTCCCATTGTCACGACAGTCTGTCGTCGCCACGCCAAAAAAGTACAGTTAATCATGTTGTTCTATGTGCGAACAACTGCATTTAAATATACAAGTCACTTTAAACTGCACAACTATCTATCGTCACGACATTATGGTAACGCGCCAAAACATTGCATTTAAGACCCCCCAAAACTACAGACTATCTATCCGCCGATAGTTAAGGCGGGTTGGACTGCTAGCGCGCATACTTGGCCAACTTAACAGTTTGGTTGGTGGTGAGTGAGCAGTAGACCAGCGAACAGTAGGGCTAGGGCTAGCTCTCGAAAAATTTTGCTAGTTGGTAAGCTGCTCTTGAAGAAAGCGGTTGCGTGACGAAAATTAAACTGTCTAGGAATGTTTTATTGCTATAATGTAACGAAGGAAAAGCTTAAAGAAAACTGATAATAATAGATACACCAGCAGACTAAACAAGCGGCAAATTATCGTTCTATACTTATTTAGCAGTCGTTGTAGTTCGCCGACAGATCTTTTGCCTTCAAACAAGCAATAGAGCAAGCCTATCAAATTTATTTATTTATCAGCTGATATCGAATATTTATAATCTGTTAATAAGCTTAAGAATATGTTTTATTTTTTGAGATTATTTGGTTTAAGAAAGAGTGACACCTCGCACACGTTTGGAAAACGTGTGGAGTCACTAACTCGCTTTGAGACAGGGTGGCGTTCTAAACCCTCTCTTTTCGCGTGCCCAGGGGGAAGTGACAGGGTTCATGATGATGTTGTATAATAGTATCCATTTTTTTAAATCTGTATTATAAACATATGTCTATTTCCAGGGATCCCCTCAAATGTCTATTCCAAATCTTCGCTGTGGTGTGTTTTCTCTGCGCCGTTTCCGTGCTATACGGCGTGTCACGCCGCTGGAATGCGCGTTGCGTAAGGGACGCCTCCCCGGTGCCTTGGAGGTGGTTCAATGCTCAGGACTTCATGGACTTATTGCTGAGGATAGAATACGTTGCCGATGTGCCAATGTAAATTTTAAAATTGCAATTCGTCATGAAATGAAACTTTTTTTTTCGGAACTAAATCCATAAAAGACACCAAAAAGTTTGTTTGAAACAACAAATGAGTATACGCTATTTAGATCCGAAACAAATTTCAATACCAATACATAGCAATCACTAAAACTAAAGCCTAAGAACTAGTTTGTTAAATTAATTTAAGTATTCGAATCAAAGTTAAACAAGTGAAATTGATTAATAAATACTGGAAATTTGCTGTAATTTTAGGTTAAAGGTGTACCCAATCTACATGTATATTTTAAACTTTGGAATTTTGAATATATAAAACTGTGTTCATACCATTGTGTTCATGTAATCTAAAGGTAGAACTTGGTGGACGCGTCAGTATACCTCTGACGCTTGGTATATTCAATGTTCAAATATATTTTAAACTTTCGAGTTTTGAACACATAAAACTGTTCACACAATTGTGTTCATGTAATTTAATTGTTGTTCGACAGTGCAGTTTTAAATTTCATTTATTAAATGAATCCTTGCCGCAGAGCACATATGTAATTCGAAAGCAAATCGTCTTCCGTACAAAGTATGTAAATTGCAGCGCCTGTGGAAAATTTAGAATAAGTCGTTGAATGTCACGGACCCTTTTGTAACGCCTCTATATCGTAGGTTACATTAATCAATTGGAAAAAATCTAATATGTTGCACTACAGGGAAATGACGGCCCAAATGTCACAGGGATCATTTTATTTCTAGGCGTACAAACGATATTTGTATTTTCTCTGATTTGAATCACTTGCAAGCGACATCCGAAGTGGGTACGGTCCGAGTTTTGTAGATTTGTATGGTCTCGAATTCGGCACGAATATTTATCGGATTGAGGGCGCAAACGCGCTAACTTGAAATTGTATAATTGAAAAAACACGATTTAAAAAAAATGGATAACTAAATATGTATAAATAAAAATAATTACATTATTCGCAATAACATACTTTCAGTATTTTTCTAATTTTCAAACTTATGATAATGGTCTTATGTTTTAAGACCCAAAGACGGAATGCAGACTGTAGTGTAGACCACGATACGAAATCCAAGTATTGTATAAAACTTTAAAGACAGGTGAAAATTAAAGTTGTGATTTGGTGGTGAACATTAAAATTAATTAATAAGTAGAACAAAATTTAGATGCGTTTGTGTTAATGATTTATAACTTCTATTTACAATTAGTTTAAGGGACATAGAACCGAGGTGTCGTACAAAAATGCTCTTTATTTTTTTATAACATAATATTGAAAATTATTAGTAATAATAGAACTGTATGTACACATACAGGGTGGAAAAAATGAATTGGGCATGAAGGAGATAGTTCTCCTAATTTTACGTAAACATTGTTTTATTTTTCTTATCATGAATAAGTGCGTTCGCAGATTTTTTTAAACGCTTACGTGAACCGCGAAACGACTCAACCAAAAAAATAAAAAATAAACACTCACTATTTTATGAAACATTCAGGACAGTTCTCCTGCTTATATTAGCAGAAACTGCTTACCTTAATGCTAATTGGTATCCAAGCATTTAAACAGTGTTTTAACTTTGACCCTCTCGCGTAATATGTAAGAAACTTTTGAGAACGATGAGACTTTTGAAATTGTAAAAAAACTTATTGTGAATTATAAATAGTTAAGTTAGTCAGAGATGGCGCAAACAAAGTGAAATCAATCAATTACTGGTTAGAATTTTACTCGAGCGTAGGTATCTCTTTTTTTTGGGATTTAGACGTGTACACAAATATATTCTTTACATTTAGAATTCGTGATTAAATAAATGTAAATGTTACTTTTGCAGCAAACGTTTAACTTCAGGTAACTAAACGTAATATTCGGTTCAAGGGCCGTCGCAACATTGCATTTATGAGGAACACCTTTATGTACCATTGTTTTTTTGTCACTCTGTATAGTTTCATATACTATTTCTATCACTTCACTTGATGTTACGTAACTTTATCACTTGTTATAATTTCTTCAACGTTTATTTTATTTTACTGACTAGCCTATTTTATAATTAGTTTTTCTTTAATATTTTAAAACTGTTTCACGTAACAAGACTTGTCGACACTAACGATTTTGTTGTGTAATTCTCTGATAACACTCGTCTAGTGAAATTGTTTAATGAAACTGTGAATTCAGTGTCAACAAAGTTTTTGGAATTGAATGTAAACAAATTAATAATACTGTGATAGATCAGTGCCAGGTTAGTGTTAGGTGTAGCCATTATTTGACATAAGATTTTTATACGTTTATATAATATCCTATTGCATTTGTTATCTGTATACTAACTGATTACAGAGTAAACTTTTTAAAGGATTATCTAAACATATCACGGCCGTGGACGGCCGTGCTAGTTGTACGAACTCCGGGCCCGACATGTGTGAACAAGTTTATAGGAAACATACGCAGTGATATTTTTTTTGAACCTCTTACGGAGCACGGCCCGTCTATGTCCCGGGCACGGCACTTTAATGTCCAAAATTATTGAACTCGCCCATCTATTTCTATCGCTATTTCTTGTACAAACCACTTCCAATGAAATGGCAATAGAATTTGTTTTTTATTCCTAGGATATAGTTACTGCCGGGTGGCTACAATAATTAATATATAGTGTCGTTCACTGGTTCCTGAATTGGTATCGCTGACCCCGGCCGACAGTGCCATTAACGAGGAATACCGCAGTACTCTTGAAAAATACCAAAAGTTTGTCTTTTAGCCCTGGGGAAAGGCGTGTAAAATATTAATAAATTTATAATATAAATAATTCGCCGGTTGAACTGGAGTCTATATCATATAGTCAATACCACAATTACCTTGAAAAAAATGTCAAAATTTGTCATTTTGGACTGTGGGAGAGGCGAGAAATAAGCACAAAAAAATAGCATAGAAAACGCGAATAAATTTTAAAATTATCTAATCTAATCTAATCTTAGGCCAAACTATCTTTAAAATCCTTCGTTTACTTTCTCATCAGTTAGTATATCCATTACTATAAAGTAGGACCTTATTATATAAAAAAATTAATTTAAATTGAAAATGCAACCAAAAATAGGCATTAGTTTTTATTATTATTTGAAACATAGAAAATATAAATGTATTATTGAACTAAAATGTTTAATTGTCGCATGCAAAAACTTTATTTTACGTTTTGAACAAAGCAAGCATTTATATTGCATTTATTTGTGTGTTTTAATTTGTATAAAGAATACTCGTGTTAATTTACTTTTTTTTTAATTGTATTCATTGTGCAATCCGCGTGTAATTTAGAAAAAATTAGAATTTGTCTTGTGTTGTTTTTAGTCAAACGCATTTATCTCATATCGATGAATAAATAAATTCAGATTATTAATTCAATTTTGCGATTTCATTTCATATTTTTCCTCTTACCTACCGACTGCAGAAGAGAAGACTAGGGCTGCAAATTCGGGATGGTGGATTCATTGTGTCTTGAGTTGGATGTATGCATCACAAGACTCACGTTTGCGCGCAATGTACGCGGGAACGCACAACCGCTGTTTCGAATTGACACCTCGTAAACGTGAGTTTATAGTGAGTTTGTGTTGGCAAACTACCGAACTAACAAAATACAAGCAACCGGCGACTTCATATTAATTGTAAGAAAGTAGAATATTAGCTTCTAGTTGCCTGGTGCTCGTGTCCAACACAAGACGCGTTAGCGCGGCGCCTAAAGGAATGACGTCATAAAATAAACGTGCCCCTTTGATTTGTCTACCCACTATGTTTTCGGACTAGTAAGAGACACTGCTATTCTCGTATACAGAATGGCAATAAATCGCGCTTCTATGTCGCTCTCGAACACGTCGCGCCCTGTCGTGCTATTCCTACAGAGCACGACGAATTAGGTAATTGACCATAGTTTGAAATCAGGGGCCTTACTATGAACTCATTACAGTTCATCATATAAGTTCGTATCGACAAAAAAGCGGGATGGTGAATAAAAATAAGAATTTATGGTAAGCCAGGTGGTCTCAAAATAGGAAATCGCCCGTACTATGAATAGAAAATTCACTCCGGAGCATTCACTGATGATAACACGAAGTAACTTAAAGTACAGTCCAGACCAGGTCAAGCTTGACACTTTGTACTTTCGACCGTTCTTATTGTAAACGGCATAGAGTTGAATTTAAATCTTATGTCAAGCTTGACGTGCTCTTAACCCTATGGCGTGCCTTACTGCACCGCATCGTATAACAATGATCTTCCTAAATTACTTTCGTATATTTTATGTATAAAATATAGATATGTTACATATTTGCAATGTTATATATAATCACTACCTACATATTATCACTACCGCGTCTGTCTGTCTGTCTGTCTGATGGCGATAAACTCAAAAACTTACTGAATTTTCATGCGGTTTCCACGAATAGATAGAATGCAGCTTTTATATTTAACTAAATTTCTGAATCGATTTCGATAAAAGCTGGCAATAAAGTATTCATTATGTAGTCTGCCAGTATACGATGAGTGCTGAGAAAGGGGCGGCTGGTACCGACTACGTGGCCTAGGGCGCCCAAGGCTGCAAACCCGCCACTGACTTATAAGGGGCGGTAGGTCAAACCATTACACTACCACGGCTTTTTTTACGAAAAACGTCTATTTCCATTCAACTCTGCCTGATTAAAAATCAACCTAAAACTTAGAGTATCAATAACCATTGAACAAGTCTCCCACCTTGTTCATTGAATCCGTATTCTCGAACAAAAGCAAATAATCTTTTCATTGTGGCGCCACAACAAAAGGTAAGGCGTTACAATAGGATATGGGACTCCAACTGAGAAATCCTTCGGAGATCACTTCCCACAAGATTGCAATTTTTTTTTCTTTATTCTTTAGGCGATTATAACCCGGTCACTTTGAAAAATTATTGGCTATTTTGTATGAATATCGTTTTGTTGCCGGTTTGGGGCTTTCTCAGTAATGGTTTGAATTTTTTTTCTGGTTTAATTATTTTCACACAATGTTTAATGTTGCGTGCAACCTACTTTCAGCTTTAGCACAATTAAAAAAAAATTGCAATTTGAGACATTAAATAGTTGTTGACTGGGAACTCGGAACTGGACAGTAAAACCTCTTCACAAAATATTCTTAAATCCAGCAAACTACAATGGGAAAAGCGCTAAATGCCTAATGTGCCTACCACAAACGGGATGGTACGGCAAAGGATTTTTAGGTGAAGAGTAGTAATAATATAACTTAATATAAAGGAATTCTAGCTGCTTTTTCAACTGGGGGATGCCTCGGCAGGCTCCGGGACACCGGGTGCAACTATATGCAGGGCGAGAGAAGGCAGAGACTTGAAGAAAGGACAGGCGCGAGCTGCGGAATCTGTGGAATGCCTGGATGCTTCGGCATGCTTAAGGATGACGTGTCGTACCTAGGGATACTACCGCATGCTTAAGGATACCGCGGCATAATTGCCGTCAGTGTGCGCTTGTATGTAGAGGTGACAAAGGATTCCCTGCCGAGCCCCCCCTTAGTGGGCGCTGGGCCTTAAACGTACTAAACTGCTTCAGGCTCAAGCAAGTATATGCCTTCAGTCTTGTATGAACGCAGTTAAATGTGATATTTTAATTTTATTTATTTATTCAACAGAGAAACAATCGATATAAACAAATTGTTATATTAACGAAAATATTATATAAAGTAGACTTAAAGTATCTATAAAGCAGTTCAAATCTTAAACTCAACAAACCGCCTCTGCTCCTAACAATAGGGCTACACGCCAACTGGCAAGAATGCCATCGATACTGGGTTGTAGGTACTATGTGTAATAGTAATAATATTATAATTATTAATACAAAGATCGAACACTCAGAAAAAATTCCTTCGATCCGGCCCGATTCGAACCGACGTCTTCTAGCATACCGTGCCAGACGCTAAACCAACTAAGCCACGGAACAAACCAGCGGAACTTCTGAAATCTTAAAAAAAAAAATAGATGGCGCTACGGCTAAAAAGTCGTTAAAAAACCAAATACAAAGACACGACAACAAGCACATAGAAAAATTCGTGAGGTCCGCTAGTTCGTTACGTGGCTTAGTTGGTACCTATAGCGTCTGGCACGGTATGCCAGAAGACGTCGGTTCGAATCCGGCTGGATCGAAGGAATTTTTTCTGAGTGTTCGATCTTTGTATTAATAATTATAACAAACTA